TTGATTAAAGATTTTTTTTCTTTAGTGTATAAGCAAATAATTATTTGAAAAACATAGAGAAAGTAACAAAGCATGAAACTTACATTGTAGTTTACGTGTTTTGGATGATATGATCATTTGTAATGCTCATGTCTCTGAATAACATGAATGTGAAGAGAGATTTAAGTACATATGGATCCACAAGAAGAAACGTCATAATTGTTGGTCTGCGCATATAAACTAAAATTGTAAATTAAAAAATCAATAGAAAAATACATATGAAAGCATTCTTCTCCTTTTAAGCTCTAACAAACAATCATTAAATAGAAATATAATACATATGAACATATTTAAAAAGTAAGAATTAGAATTCAAATAGATCTACGATTAATCAAATCATATAGAAAGATAAAAACAATTTCCTGCATCGTGGTGAAATCGTTATAATAGGGCATCTGCATATAAACCAAAAGAGAAATCAGCTCTGATGAAATATGTATATGTAAAAGCTTAATGATGTAAAATAAAAAAAAACAATATCAACATAAAAAGTTCAGAATAAAAAGTTCAGTGGCTTCGTTTCTCATACTGTGAATGTCTTATATATAGTAAATTGATGGATGTTTCTCAATGATTTAGCTTGCATGATAAGCTAATAAAATGGTATGCATATGATATGATTTTAACTTGCGCAAGTAATCAATATTAGTAAGGTAAGTTAATAAAAATAAGTTTCCTAATTAGATAGAAATTGTTAAATGTCATCAAGCAATGTAATCAATATGATATCAAGAGTAAATGGTTTACCGTATTTGTAATAAGGAAACTTATTAATACATGTATTAATTAATATTCTTGTGCAAGTAATATGTAATGGGGTTAGTAATTAGTGTTGCTTTCCTATTAGGTTGTCGATGATAAAAATAAATCAAAAAAGAAATTCTAAAAAAATCAACCAATAAGATTAAGAGAATTCCTCTGAGAAGGCATGTATGAGTGACATGTGTCCAAGTGACTTCTCTTTTAATGTATAGGGGGATACTTTAATTGTTATCTCCAATCAAATCATTAGTATGTTTTAGTATTCTATATTAGTTTTATATAAGTATTGTTTTAACTAATTAAATATTTATTTATTATTGACTAAATTGTATGTGTTTTTAATTACAAACCTAATTTAATGAATAATATTAATATAATTCCATTGTTAAATAAAATAGAGTAAAAAATTACTAGAATTTTATCTGATAAATAATATTACTTCAAACTATTATAATACTAACAAAACATCAAATTTTGTTTAATAGTTTAATTCTTAGAATTCTATTAAAATGAAATACACCAATTTGATGTTTTAGAATTCAATTGGAATTCAGTTTCCTCAATAGTATTTTTATTTATGTAAAATCTCAATAGGTACGCTTTATACATATGCATTGTTATGATAATATCTTATGTAATCATATAATGTAAATATCTATTATAATACTTTTAAAATGTGGGTTTTATTATATTTATTATAAATTTTTAATTTTATAATCACTTCTCAAAGATAAAAAAAAAAATTGAAGAAGAGAATTTACTTATTTTATCCCTTTTCACCCAATATTAATGTATAACATAATCTCATTTACGGATCACTTTCAAAATACTCTCAAATTAGAAACAGTGTTAAATAATTTTATCCTACTATGTCCAAATATTTGAAGGATTACAGAAATCCCAAACAACTTAGAACTATTAAGAGAGTACTAATCTCAAATCTGATATATAATTTCCAGTTTACATATTTATTAGATTGTTAGAGATAACTAAATATATTCAGAAGTACACGATCTGACTTATATTCAATTTTCACCCAAATAGGTATGGAACAAAATATAACATATGTGGAGAAAATCGAAGATTGATCATTTATGAGAATATATAATGTTCTTGGATATTCATGGGAATTATCTCAGTAATATTTTAAGTAAATAACTGTAGTTAGCTAGATGAATATTTGCAATTGATTAACTGTGATATTGTAACAGTTTATATAATTATTTGCTACTGTTTAAATATTCTTTTGTAACTTTTGATGCTTAACTATCGAAATATTTGATGATTACACAATTGATTATTGGAAACTAAATTTAATTATTAGATTTAAATTTTAACATTATTTTCATAATTTTCCCCTGCGGGTCACGGGGGTTCACAATCCTAGTATACTATCAAAAGGAAACTTGGGATTACATAGAATACATTGTAATTTTGTACACGGTAAGTACTCGTTTGGGAGTTTTCTATTAAACTAGAAATTCCACCCTAATACAAATCCAGTCTTGTAAACACATAACTCATTACTATATACTGTACTTCATTCATATGACCTCATATTACTATATAAGGAATCATCAAGAACCAAACGTTACCCTTTTTTCTTTATCTGCACTAGGCAACCAAAATGTTGTTATTTTCGTTGTCGTAGGCTCTGCGCAATAGTAACCCTGGGTACAAGCAATACAAGCACATGTTTCCTGTCCTAATTAAATTATCAAAAATTTTGATTTTCAAATTGTCAATATCTTTGATAGTGTAGTTGGTTTAAAATTAGATTTGTTGTGTGAGGTGTGTTAGGTTCGAATGGTAGTAGTTCCATATTTTTAATTAATAGGCAAATTTTTTTTTTTTTTGCTTCCGGTCCATATTTTCTCCGGCCGAACCTGGCTCTGCGACTACAACTTGCGACCAAATGCTGTTCGTTTCTTGTCAAAGGTACTTGTGACTGGTAATCTGAAAATTGGATGAATCTCCACAGTTGCGGAGCCGGATTAAATTCATGGAACAAACGAAATCCTATACCATCTTCCTCTTTCCGATATATACTTTATCCCATTGCTATAAAAATAACATTTGCATATGGTTTATACGTATAATCAAGCCATAATTTTTTGGTATTTTGTCTGAACTGAACCTATCCTATAATCAATTCGGACCAATCAGTGAAACAGAGCACGTGGGTTGGAATCTTGTTATCCAAAACAGAACATGATCAGATCAGATCCGTCATTACTTATCTCTCAGTTCGACAGATCAAATAATTTCAATTTTGAGAAATCGAACTAAGGCAATTCATATTATTAAACAATGAGAATCATCATAGCCAAAAGGGCATTCAAAATCTTAACCCCACGTTTTCAAACACTGTGGTTGACCCACTCTTCCTTGTCAACCTCACATTCCGGCGGATTTTCCGACGATTCCGAGCCGGAGTCATGGAAAACGATGGAGGGTCTTCTCCGCTCCCCGGCCAATTTCTCTCCTTTATCTCCAGTCACGTTCTTGGAAAGATCCGCCCAAGCTTACAGAGACAGAACCAGTGTTGTGTTTGGTTTCGTCAAGCACACTTGGTTCCAAACTTACCAACGTTGTCTCCGCCTTGCATCTGCTCTTACTCACCTCGAAGTCTCTCCAGGCGACGTGGTTAGTCTCTAAAATTCGTTTCATTTTCTTATCTAGTTTACGTGGTCAGATTAGGTTAGGTTTTGAGATAAATGTTGATTGAACCTTTAGGTTGCAGTTTTGGCGCCGAACGTTCCAGCGATGCACGAGCTTCATTTCGCTGTTCCAATGGCTGGTTTGATTCTCTGTCCACTCAATACTCGTCTCGATACTTACACATTGTCTGTTTTGCTCGAACACTCTGAGGCGAAGATCCTCTTCGTTGATCACCACTTACTTGAGGTTGCTCATGCAGCTCTTGATCTTCTTGCTAAATCAGACAGAACAAGAAAATTTCCCACTCTTGTATTGATCTCTCAGTCTAATGATGATGAGGATGAGGGATCATCAAGCCTAGATTCTAACTACTCTTTTGATTACGATTACGAAACTCTTGTTGCCTCCGGAGACAGCGAGTTCGAGGTGATCAAACCGAGAAACGAATGGGATCCGATCAGTATAAACTACACTTCAGGGACAACCTCGAGACCTAAAGGTGTAGTGTATAGTCATAGAGGAGCTTATCTCAACTCTCTCGCTACTGTTTTTCTTCACCAGATGTCTGTCTCTCCCGTCTATCTATGGACAGTACCGATGTTTCACTGCAACGGATGGTGTCTCATTTGGGGAGTAGCGGCTCAAGGCGGTACAAATATCTGCCTCAGAAAGGTCTCTCCTAAGCTGATCTTTAATAGCATTGCGACACACAGAGTGACACACATGGGAGGAGCGCCAACGGTTCTGAACATGATTGTCAACTCCCCTGTGACGGAGCGTAAGCCGCTTCCTCACAGGGTCGAGATCATGACGGGTGGGTCACCCCCTATGCCGCAGATCTTGGCTAAGATGGAAGAGTTAGGATTCAATGTGTCACATCTTTACGGCTTGACAGAGACATACGGTCCAGGGACACATTGCGTGTGGAAACCTGAATGGGATTCGCTTTCTTTGGAAGAGAGAACTAAGTTAAAGTCTAGACAAGGAGTGCAGCATTTGGGTTTAGAAGGGCTCCAAGTGAAAGATCCGGTGACAATGGAGACTGTACCTAATGATGGTGTGACCATGGGTGAGGTTATGTTTAGAGGAAACACAGTGATGAGTGGATACTTCAAGGACTTAGAGGCAACGAAGAAAGCTTTCGAGGGAGCTTGGTTCCACAGTGGTGATCTTGCTGTTAAGCATCCGGATATGTATATAGAGATAAAAGATCGGTTAAAGGATGTGATCATATCCGGAGGAGAAAATATAAGCACGGTGGAAGTTGAGAGAGTTTTGTGCTGTCACCAAGCGGTTCTTGAAGCTGCTGTTGTGGCGCGTCCGGATAATCACTGGGGACAGACTCCTTGCGGGTTTGTGACGCTGAAAGAGGGGTTTGATGGTGTTAAACCCGAGGAGGTTATTGAGTTTTGTAGAGATCATTTGCCTCATTACATGGCTCCAAAGACTATTGTGTTCGGAGTCTTACCTAAAACATCGACAGGGAAAGTACAGAAGTATCTACTGAGGAAGAGTGCTGATGCAATGGGAAGCTTGTAATCGACGTCATTAAAAAAAAACATAAAAGCTTTGTTTCATCTCTGGTATACGGAAAAAGATCCAAGAATCGTAAACCATCGCGTGAAATATAAAAAAGAAAAAAACAGATGAGCCATGCCTAAAGTGTTGCTGTAAGTAAATTTCTTGCGCAGTAAGGCAGACGAGTTTGTACCTCAGAAAGATCTTTAGTAAGACAATATTAAAGAAACAAGTACAGAAGTATCTATTGATGAAGCGAGCTGATGTAGCCCTGGGCAAAAAAAACGGGAACCGAAAACCCGAACTGGAACTGAACCGAAATACCCGAAACCAAAACCGGACCAATATTCTTAAATATCCGAATGATTCCTATATTTTTATAACCGAAAAAACGAACCGAGAACCGAACGGATACCCGAATATCCGAAAAAAAAAAGTTAAATTTTTTTAATATAAGATAAAATAACATCAAGCCCACTTGAACCCAAGTTGGATAAAAAGAGTAAATACATTTTTATCATCTGACCACATTATGTTTTATTTATTCTCTTATATTATAAATATATATAGTATTTCTATATTAAAATACAATAAATATTTATAAAATTAACACTTTATCGATTCAAACTCTTGTTGGATTGACGAATATGCAAGCGTGTAAACACTAGACCTTTAAATTAACATATTAATTAATATATTATGTATATATATATATATTTGATTTATATATTAAACGGGTGCCGGAACCGAACCGAACCGAACCGAACCGAAACCAAACCGGAACCGGAACCGAAACCGAACCAAAATCTCATAAGTACCTATTGGGTATAAGAATGATTTATCCGATATATCCGGAACCGAATAGTTCCTATCCGGAACCCGAACCGAATATCCGAATGCCCATGCCTAAGCTGATGAAAGGCGTAGCTCGTTATCTAAGTTATTAAAGAAACATTATAGCTTGCTTCATCTCTGTGGTATATATAATAGGGATGTTATATAGGGTTGTGAGATTTAAGGTTGGCCCAACCCATACAATAATTTAAGAACCCTAACCCAAATGCATTGTTCTTAAAGTATTTAGGGTCATTTTAGGGCTGGGCTAAAGAAGTAAAGGTTTTTGACAGGGTTAACCCTTTTAAGATAATTTTTATCTTTTTTTTGTTAAACAATCATGTACTAGTATAGGGTTAAAACTTCAAAAATGAATTTTTCCATTGAAATCATAAAAACGAATTTTAGCTAAATCGATTTTTCAGCTAAAATAGGAAAATCACGGAAAATCGAGTTTTTCCGTAAAAATTGAAAAAAAATAAAAAATTTCGCCAAAATCCTCAAAACGAGTTTTCTTGCTAAATCGAAAAATTGAGTTTTCTTACCAAAATCGAGAAATTTGAGTTTTTTCAGCCAAAATCGGGAAATCAAATTTTCTCGCTAAAACTAAGAAATCAAATTTCCCTGTTAAAACTGGGAAATCGAGTTTTCTCCCCCAAAATCGAGAAATCTAGTTTTTCGTCAAAATTGAGAAATCAAGTTTTCCCGCCAAAACCGTAAAACAAGTTTTCCCGCAAAAATCAGGAAATCGAGTTTTCTGCCAAATCCAGAAAATTGAGTTTTCCTGCCAAAAACGTAAAATCAAGTTTTTTCGCCAAAACCGAGAAATCAAGTTTTCACGCCAAAACAAAAAATCATGTTTTTCCCACTAAAACCAGGAATCGAGTTTTTTTCACCACAATCAGGAAATTGAGTTCTTCCGCCAAAATCGGGAAATCAAGTTTTCTCGCCAAAACGAGAAAATCAAATTTTTTAACTAAAACCGAAAAATCAGGTTTTCCCGCCAAAACTGGAAAATCTTGTTTTTCCGCCAAAACAAAAAAAAAATCGAGTTTTTTCACCAAAATAGGAAAATTGAGTTTTTCCGGCTAAAACTGGAAAATCATATGTTAATATATTTTATTTTGTTTTGATAGATTTCATAAAATGGGTTAACCCCTGAATCAACCCCAACCCAACCCTTCATACATAAACTATTAGGGTTAACATAGGGTTGGGCTAGAATAGGGTTGGGTTTATATTTTATAGGGCTGGGTTGAGCTGGGTAAACCTATATAACATCCCAATATATATATGGAAAGAAAAAAGATCAACCGCGTGGAAAATGAAGAAACAGATCAGCCATGCATGTGGTTGCTATAATCAAAAAAAGAAAAGAAAAAGAGTTGCTATAATTAGAATTCTTAGGCGGTAAGGCAAACGGTTTTGTACCTCAGAAAGATTTTTAATTTAGTAACACATTAAAAGAAGAAGACAATAGAATACTCAACCGCGTCTGAAACGAGTTCAATTCGTAGAAAGATTTCAAAAACAATATTTTTGTATTCTTTCTTCCTATTCAGTTTCTCTGTTATAAACTTGCATCTTGGGGAAGACCATTTAGACAAAAACATCAACTCATCAAGGTAGAATCAGAGAAGATTTTGCTTTCTTTTGTCTGAGAGATTAAAAGCTTGTTACTTTCTTGATCGAAATGGCATCAAATGACGCTGGAAGACCATTGCCAAAATTTGGGGAATGGGATGTGAATGATCCGGCGACGGCGGATGGATACACGGTGATATTCAGCAAAGCCGGTGAAGATAAAAAGATGGGACGGAGTTCGACGAAGACAGCTTCTCAGAGGAAACAAGACGGTGACAAACCAGCCGTCAAGAAATGGCTCTGTTTTACCTTTTCTTAAACTCTTTTTGTGTTGTGTAATTGTTATCCTAAGGAGGAACTTAGAGTACCTCAAATGGAGGGTTTTAGCGGAATATAAGAAACTCTCTATTAATATTTAACTAAAAAAACCCAAGAACCGGTTTTTAATTGTCTTATTTAAGAATCGGTTTTTAATTTTTTAATTAAAAATTAAGAGACGGATTCTTATATTCCGTTAAAAACTCCGCCGTAAGAATTTTTCATTGGAGATGGTCTTAACTTTGAGCCTTTGATAACTCTTGTCTTAAAAAAATTTCGTTTTGGTTTAGTCATTTGATAGACTCTGATGTTTATTTTCTTATGATGAATCAACAAAACCTGTATAGTTCTCAATTTGTAACTGAATGGAAAATTTTAGCAATACGAGAATGAGAATATTGATTTTGAGGTGATCACCAAGCTCTTTAACATCATTTTTTTGAGAACTTCAGATTCAGACACAATTTGTTCATCACCTTCCTTAATAACCCATTTTGTTTCATCTATGTTGATTTAGTATGTAAGGTAGTGTAGCAATGCTTTGTACCGGTTTAGCGAGAAAAATGAGAAGGTGATTGAGTTCGTTTGAGGCTATCTACAACATGTCAACATTAGCCCCCAAAGATTGTCGTTTTAGATTTTTTTGCCAATAAAGTTGTGGAGGAAAGAAAAGTATGTGTTAAGGGAGAGAAACCCTAAATTTGGGCCAATCATTCAAATATTCAATAATAGTAAATTGTAATTAGTTGAAAACAATCAAAAGTCTAGGCAAAAGGATTATATTTATTTTATTATGTAATACATAATATTGCTTGGGCTAAATTATCACGTCAGGATGTTATTATATCAAACAACATTACGATCTGTCCTATTTGTTTCTACTGGATTTGACATACTCTACATTTCTTTCTTCTTAGCCCATAAGACGAGATACAATCCTCCCACAATAATGATTGTACCTATAATGCTGCATCAATGTTGCCAAGTCACATCAATTATATTCTGTTACTTAAATCGATATCTTAAGAAATCAGTACTAGATGAGGATTTTGTACCTCCCGGAATGAATAGGCTCTTGTAAAATAAGTGATGCGACGATGACAACAACCACAAGTCTTACAGGCCTAAACATGGACACAAATACTGGTCCATTAGCGTCCACACACCACACAATGACAGCAAATGCCATCCCGGAAATCATAATTCCCTACAAAAGGTAACATTAGTTAACCAAGAAGATCCAGAGAGAGAGAGAGAGAGTTTGGTTTATTTACCGAAAAGATGCGGGCAAACAGTTTAATATCCCATCCTAATCTCCATTCTTCTAAATCGGGTTTCCAACTAAGAGCCATCAAGCTACCCATCATATTCATCAAAGCAGTGTTCCAATAAGGTCCTCCAAGTCCGTTACCTATCTTAACCTATTTAGTATATTAAAAAATGTATGATTGGTTGCTGTATTGATACTATTACCATTTTGTAAGACCAGAGAATGTTGATAAAAAGAAACAAAAGCAATTAGCTAACTCATTTGATATCGATGAAGAAAAAGAATGAAATACTACCTCATGTGTTACCTGACGTAAAATATTTTAGATTTTTCTTTTGTTTTATTCTTTTTTAAAATGTAATGCAAAATTATATATCTTATTTTGTTTCAAGTTAAATGTCATCATAACCTTTTTATGTTTCAGCTGAATGATTGTTTAGCCAAAAACTTAATCAAATTAAAATTTCAATTCACATTACTTTGATGTATTAGTGTAAGAGATCAAAATAAGTAACTTATTAATAAAATTTTAACGTGTAAAAGTTTCTTCAATGATATTTGCAAATAAATAAAGAGGATATTTATTTAAATCATATAATCATTTGTATTATGCGTGTGGCACATCTTCAACGGATATCCAAACACCTAGGTCAGATGTGCCACTGCATAGGATAGTTCATTGCTCATTGCATGCGTATTATCCAAAACACAATTGGTGGGTTAATTAAGAAATATATGTAACTTTTTTTTTGAGCAACAAGCAATATATGTAACTTAAATTCCATTTAAAACATTTTTGTTTTGTTTATCATTACTCTTTCTATTCTCTAATAAGTATAAAGGTTTTTGAAGTTTTGCTTTTGTTTGATTTTTTTCAGATCTCCATGTAATTTAAAGTCGCTAATGTGTATGTAACAATTCTGAGTTTAGTTGAACAATAAATAATATGAGAAAATATTGACAATTTTTATATGAAAATGTGTTGCAGGCTTTTAACTATAAATGTTATTAAAAAAAAAGAGATCATCAATGTATTTATACTAACTTTAAATGATAGTATTTTTTAGTTTCCTATTCTGCAAAGGATGATTTCAATACCAAGAAAACAAATTCATTCCAACCTCATTATTTCAATGTATTAAATGGAGAAAGAAACTGTTGTTAATATATTATTTTAAATAGGAAAAGTTTTAATAGTTTTTAATTTGTGTTTAAATAACACTCTTTATCTTTCTTTCTTTTTTGAACAAACACTCTTTATCAAACAAAAGAATTATAATAAAAGAGAAATTTACCTGCAATAGAACCCAAAAGGAATAAGAGATTACGCCTCCTAGAGCAAGAAATGCCGCAAGTATAGAAATGTTGGGAGTGGTATTACTGTGTGGCCGGCCTCCTAGATGAATAGGAGACGACCAAAGATGGATCTCTTTTCCTTTGTACAATACAAAGAAAAATACTCCACCAACGCCAAGTAGTGTCCCAATCACTTTAGCTTTTCCATATTTTGATCCAAGATGTACATGTTCCGTTCTTTAAGATATATGAAAGACATATAAGTATATATCTTAATGTATATATTAATTTTAAAGGCAATTCTTACAAATAGAAGAAAAAAAGTTTCCTTTTTAGCAACAATCATTAAAAATATTTACAAACAAAATTTTCATATCAAAATGACCAAAACTCTAAATAATAGAAACAAGTTTAAAGTCTAACTTAGACTGAAAAAAAGTAATATAATCAATATCTAAATTTTTGGAACTTAGAGTAAACAATTGTTTTCCACAAAATGATTTGTTCTGTTTGGAAATATAAAAGTTATTATGAAAACTTTTGAAAAACAATTGTTTTTAGAATGTTTTTTTATTTAAAATCTTAACTTTCCGATTTGATCAGTTAGTTGAGTAATTTGTATAATATGGTAATATATTATATAAAATTTAAAATACATATGTATACACTAAGAATGTGAGTAGTATGAAGTAGTTGTTGGGTTTGTGAAAATACATGTCCAACTCTTAATTACCCGATTAGTACGATATTATCCATTTTGAGCCTTAGAGACTGATCCGCATGGATTTACTTTTGGTTTCCTTTCCAAAAGGCCTCGCATTATTAGAGTTGTATTTCTCTTTATATATTAGACACTCCTTGTCTAATTCTCCAATGTGGAACGTACGATATTGTACACATGGGCCTTAAAGACTGACCCGCATGAATTTACTTTTGGTTTCATTCTCAAAAAGTCTCGTACTATTAGAGTTGGACTTCTCTTTATATATTAGATACTCCTTGTCTAATTTATATATTAGACACTCTTTGTCTAATTCTATAATGTGGGACTTTGTTTATTATCTTATACTCCTCGTTTCATTTTAATTGTCATTCTATGTTTTTACACACATATTAAAGAAACATTTATTTTTACATATTTTCAAGATAAAAACACAATTACCTATACACCTAACCACTTTTCAACCAATAAAAAATAGAATATCATATAAAATTAATAAATTTTGTCTCGAAACTTTAAAACGACACTTATTTTGAAACAAAATTTTCTCTAAAGAATGACAATTAATTTGAAACGGAGGGAGTAGTAGTTACAAGTGTTGCACTGTGACATGTATATATAAATATGGTTTCTGAATATATTATTATGTCATATAATTGGAGCACTTTTTATAAATATATCATACATCATAATTTTATTTAACTGATAAATAAAATTTTAGTAAGTATAATAAGTTAATATTATAAATAATTAACCCATCTCCATTTAATATCTATTTAATTTAGATGCATTATAAATAATAAACCCATCTCCACAATGAAGCAAACTTTCACCAAAAAGTTACCTAGAAGTTAACTCCATAAATTTTCGTCGAATGTATATAAAAAGAAAATCAAACAAGTGAATTGATTAGTAAATTGTTAAAACATGAACTTCCTAGAATTTTGACTGAAAAGAGTTTGACTAATTAAATGCCAAGTTAGAATATACCCAGAATAAGCCGGTAAATAAATTCAACGGTTCTTTTAAGATCTTTTGTATCTCTTAGTCAAGTTTGAGTGATTCCGGTAATCTCTATAATATTATTTGAGAAGTCAGTTTCCTACGTGTCGCGCTCATGTTAACTCTCGCGGTGGTTGATTACATAGATACCCTTAATGAATTATTAGATTTTAAATTTAGTTTTTTTTTTAATTTTTTTCCAAATAACATATATAATAAAAAGTAAATATTTCTAAAATTTGAAAACAAATTTAAAAACGAAAATATATGTATATAATATGACTTTATTAAAAAGGAAAATTCACAAAATAGTAATACCCCCATTAATATATATTTTTAAATAACATAAAATATAACAAAAAAATATATGTTAATGAACATCTAAAAATTTATCAGTTACACTTTATTTTCTTATATTTTTTAGAAATCAACATATAATTTGATAAATATTATGAAAATACATGTATATCTAAGCGATAAATATAACTAATTTGATTTGATTTAACTAAAATAAAGAGTAAATAAATATTATGAAAATACATATATATTTAAGAGATAAATATAACTAATTTGATTTGAATTAACTAAAATACAATTATAATTTAAAAATATATTTAACTCAATATACTCACAAAAGGAATGACTCGACTAATCTAATTTATATCCAAAATTAAACATCTAACTACAATAAGAACATATAATTTTAATAATAATAATAATCTATTTAATTTTATACATATAAATTAGAGGTTGACTCAAAGCATATTAAAAAGAAAAAGAAAATACTAATCAATTAAAATTTAATTCTTTTTAGAATTTATATATAAGCATGAGACTTCAAAATATTAACATTATATTCATTTATGTAATTTTGATTCAAACATTTCAGCTTATTATTTATTTCATTTTAAGCACAATATATATTAAGTTATACATAATTTAACTATAATATATTTACTTATCTAAATATAATAACCAACCGAAATGAAAATAAGAAAATTAATCAAAGTTTTACTATATTTAGAATAAAAAATATTATAGATGAACTCGAAAAATAGATATTATCAAATATACCAAATTGATAACCAAACGGACTATTGATCCAAAAATAATTAAACCAATAATAATATATCTAAAGTCATATGTATAATTAGAATAATATAATATTTATTAATATAAATTATACATATAAATTGATTCAATACTAAAACTAAATATCAATCAGTTATTATTAAATTTTAATTTTATGAATATTCATATCCGTGCATGAGCACGGGCAAATTACCTAGTTAATATATATTAAAACCGTACTTTGAACAAAAAAAAATGTAAAATTGAAGATACCATAAATTATTTTTTTGGTAAACCGCAATAACATCAAGAGAATTACCTAAGTATAGCAGCCAAGATGAATGTTACTAGCGGGACTAGTATGGTCGCAGTTGAAATAAACGTAGCTGTTGTCCTAGCCAGGGCCTCAGCAAATAGGATATTCGGTTCCGCCGAGCTTGATTTTCCAAGTTTATATAATGTTAGAGAAACATGATTATTCTTGTGACAAAAAAAGAAGAAGAGAAACATGATTATTCATCTACTAGCGATACTGGATTCCACGTTATTTCACTGGGAAAATTGCCAAATATGACTCAAAACTTGATTTGAAATGCAAAAGTAAACCCAAACTTGAATCAAATGCAAAAGTAACTTAAAAGGCTATTGAAATTACAATCAACCCCTTGTGAACAAACAAAAAAAGAGTTTTTTTGTTACGTTTTTAGCCCTCGCAAGTCGTCTGGGATAGTTTTTCTTAAAAATAATTTAAAAATTGTGTAATAAATATTTTGATAAATGAAAAATTGGAATTATGTAATTAACATATGTCTTAAGAGATATAAATTAATATATAACAAAAGTCAGTTGTTTTCAGCATAGATGAGTGAAAGTAGTGAGCCATGATATTCTTTGGTTTAGGTTTCACCAACATATGTTGTAGTATTGTATGTGTTTCTTAGGGTTAGATTTTTGAAAGCATAAATGTTTTTTTGAAAAATTAAAAATTTACCTAAGTGTGTTTATTTCTGTGTAGAGTAAACAATATTTAAGTATAATTTGATTTTATAACGTGGTTACTTAGTTAATTTAGTCAATTTAGTTTAGGGTTTAGGGTCTGGACGACTTATATTTAAGTCGTCTGGTAAATATATTTAATAATGCAGACGACTTAGTCGTCTTATAGTATCAACAGACGACTTAATTATAAGTCGTCCAAACCGGATTTTACCAAA